TTTTTGAGATGGAGTCTCGCTGTGTAACCCAGGCTGTTGTACAGTGGCACAATCTCGGCACACTGCAACCTCTGCTTCCCGGGTCTCAGTTCAAGCGATTCTCCTACCTCAGCCTCCCAAGTAGCTGGGATTACAGACAGGCATGAGCCACTATGCCCAGATAATTTCTGTAGTTTTTAGTAGAGACAGGGTTTCACCATGTTGGCCAGTCTGGTCTTGAACTCCTGACCTCGTGATCCACCTGCATTGGCCTCTCAAAGTGCTGAGATAGTCTATCTTTTACAACCTAGAGGAGCTGTGTTTCCTTGATGATACATTGTAGTTTAGCCAAAGATATTATTTATTTCATGGAGAACTGGAGTGCTTATCCAAGCTTGAAATTTTTTCCCATGTAGGGAAAATAACGAGGCACCTGCCTGGTATCCCAGTGTCTGGCAGTGATTTTAGCAAACATTTGGGGCATAGTGTTCTGTCAACCAACTTAGAGCTGGTTTTATTAGGTTGACTCTGAAGGTTATTAGTTGTTAGAGCTTTAAACAAAAGCTATATTATTAGAGTAGTAGTTGTTTTTCTACTCATGTTTGACTAAAGCCGTTCAGTGATCCAAGAAATGTTTGTTATGATCTATTTAAACCTGACGAAAACCTTCTGAAGTTACGTGACGGAGAAACTGAGGCTTCAAGAGGTTTCATAGCTAATAATTGGCAGAGCCAGTATTTGAACCCAGATGAGTTTGGTTTGTTGAGATACATTTATTTCATCGGTCATTTTTCCTTCTTCCAGGTCAAAAAGTAAAATGAAGTACATTCTGGTTACTGGTGGTGTTATATCAGGAATTGGAAAAGGAATCATTGCCAGTAGTGTGGGCACAATACTCAAGTCATGTGGTTTACATGTAACTTCAATCAAAATTGACCCTTACATTAACATTGATGCAGGGACATTCTCTCCTTATGAGCATGGTAAGCACAGTGCATTTCTTGGTAATTATCAAATGTGGAAGAACATGTCAGCACTTGGAAATTATGTGCATAGTTTGCATAACTTTTATTTTCTGTCCTGTAAAATGTTCCTTAGTATAGCAGAATGATGGTTTTCTCACCTAGACAGGAAGAAGCAGAATTTACTTATTTATTTTTTTTGGAGACAGGATCCCACTCTGTCACCCAGGCTGGAGTGCAGTGGCACTGTCATGGCTCGCTGCAGCCTCCACCTCCTGGGGTTAAGCAGTCCTCTCACCTCAGCCTCCTGAGTAGTTGGGACTACAGGCGTAAATCACCGTGCCTGGCTAATCTCTATAAATTTTTTGTAGAGATGTGGTTCCACCATGTTGTCCAGGCTGGTCTTGGGTCCTCCCACTGTAATCCCAAAATGCTGGGTTTACAGATGGGAGCCACCGTGCCTGACTGCATTTTACTTTGTTATTGTTCTTGAGAACCTGTCAACTGTGTGACATGCGACTGTGGCTGTTACTTGAAAGATTAATTGCTTAAAACTGGGAGAGATGTTAAAACATACCTCATAAATTTTAAAATTCTGCATTCATACTCCTACTCTCTAGCATTAAGGTGAAAATCTACAAGCATTGTCATTAGTGCAGAAATTCTCATGTAACAAATAGCGTCAGGAAAAGATCCATATACCAGAGTGATATTTAATACAGAATTGTTGAGCAGAGGATGAGTTATCTCCTTTCCCGTGTTTGAGCTTGTCTCCTATTGTGGTGGTAGGAATGAATCATTCTGGGCAAAATTTCTAGAGTGAAGTTTCATGGAATGAATGTGCAACAAAGGAATGGGGGGTACGTGTGCAGTTTCACAACGTTGTTTAGAACAAAAGCAGAGCTCAGAAGCTGATTTTTATAATCAGCACAAACTCAATACGCATACATCCAGATTTTGAATCAAATATTTTTATCATGCTTTAAACCATATTATGCTCAATTAGGAAACTTTTCTGAAAGTTCTTTTTCCCTTGGCAGCAGATGCTATACTACTGTAAGGTCTTGTATATGCACAGCCTACTGGGCTGTCATTCCCTCCCATCCCATGCTATTTTATAACTCTTCTTGATTAAGAATGAGTTTGTTGACCGGCTAGAAGTACGAAATTACCTTTTAGAGAATGGCTGCTAATTTTTCTTTTTGTGTGTCATATTTAGTTTTCTCGAAGTGAATTTCTGTGCTTCATATCACGTGCACACACACCTTGTTGTGAGTGTTTTATTTCAGGATTGCTGTTGTGCCATGGTATAGGTATTTTTCACTTAACCTAAATGGTTTCCGTGTTCATTGCAGGTGAGGTTTTTGTGCTGGATGATGGTGGGGAAGTAGACCTTGACCTGGGTAACTATGAGCGGTTCCTTGACATCCGCCTCACCAAGGACAATAATCTGACCACTGGAAAGATATACCAGTATGTCATTAACAAGGAACGGAAAGGAGATTACTTGGGGAAAACTGTCCAAGGTAAGACTGGATTTACCTTTACAGTTGAAAAGTTGTAACCAGTTTAATTTTTCTCCTCCAACCTCTACACAGATGTATCATTTCCTTTTGAGTACAAAAATTTACATTGTATGTGATTTCAGCATGAAACTCTCAAGGTATTGTTACTGAACTATGCCTTCGGTTGAAAAATCAGAATTATATTGTTGTTCGCTAAAAAAATAATTTGAGGAACTACGTCTTTATTGAAGCTTGTCAGTCCATCCATGGCAGCATGATACAAGTCCAGAGGGCTGTTGTTTTTACACAGTAATGAATGTGAAAGTGGTAAAGGCAACTCGATTAGGGCATTAAGCCAGATGGCATGTATGTGTGCATCTGGGACTTACTGTGTATAGAAGTGAGAAGGAACTGAACATCCATTGTGTATACTGGTTTCCAGGCTGTTCATCAGTGCCATATGGACTAGGAGGAACCTGAGAAGTGGGTTTGTGGTTCCTCCCAAGCTTTTACCAGCACTGCTTCACTTACGCTATTTGCTGTTTTGGGATTTTGTACAGGCATCCATGTAAGGAAAATGTTTTACTGCTTTAAACAGGTGGGGCTGGCCGGGCACTGTGGCTCATGCCTGTAATCCCAGCACTTTGGGAGGCCAAGGCGGGAGGATCACGAGGTCAGGAGTTTGAGACCAGCCTGACTAACATGGTGAATCCCTGTCTCTACTAAAAATACAACAGCCGGGCTGGTGGCACGCACCTGTAATCCCAGCTACTCGGGAGGCTGAGGCAGGAGAATCGCTTGAACCTGGGAGGCAGAGATTGCAGTGAGCCAAGATTGTGCCACTGCACTCTAGCCTGGGTGTCAGAGCAAGACTCCGCCTAAAAAGAAAAGAAATAAATAAATACAATGAAAAGGTGGGGTTGGAAAACTACTGATCCAGTGTAATGACAGTGGCTCAAATTTGGGGGGTTTCAAAAGTGGCTTTAATCTCAGTTATTAGAGCAAATCTGCTTTTGGCTTTAGGCTTTTCTGGCCTGAAAACTGAGGGTCACACTGACAGCTGGCTCTGGTCTGGGGCTGCCCTGGCGATTCTGGGCTAATTGGGTCATGTTTAGAACTTAGCACCCCTACTCACCAGCATTGTGCACATGGGCAAATTACTTAACCTCTTTGACATGTGGATTCCTTTTCTGTAAAATGGAGACAATAACAACACTTACCGCTCTGGTTTGTTAGGAGGATTAAAGGAACTAAAAGTCAGTAAAATGTTTCTCTGACTTCCTGACACATAAAAAACAGTTTGCTATGTGTTTATTCATCATCTATCAGTTTTGCATTGAATGCTCACTATAGTCAGACCCTCGCTGGTGCTGGTAACACATGTGATGAACAAGACCAGAGAGGTCATTGGCCACATGGAGATTACCTGTAAGAATGACTGGGGAAAGCCACTTTGGGCAAGTGGTCAGGGAGCCTCCCAGGAGAGGCCAGTTGAGCTGAGAGGCCAATCCCAGAGAGAATGGAATGAGAAGTGCAGTGGCCCAAGGCTGCAAAAGGCTTGCTTGGTCTAGGAATGGAGGGGAAGCCGGCAAGGCTGAGGCAAAGTGACCGAGGGGGGTGGTTAGAGAGTCGGGGTGGTGGCCACAGCCAGGTTCTACCCAGTCTCTGGGCCACAGCAAGAAGCTGAGAGTGTACTCAGAGGAGTGGGAAGCCACCGAAAATTTAAGCGTAGGAGTGATGAATTCTGACTTGCATTTTAAAAGATCACTTTGACACCGTGTGTGGAGTAGATAATGAATATCCTCCTGCGTGAGGCAAATGGATATCCTTGTGCATGAGGCATTGCTGTAACTGGAGTAACCTGGAGTTAAACAGTAATCTTCACCTTTTAGGAACTTGCAGTCTGCCCAGCAACTATGATTTTTGAAAAGTGTTGAGCAATCGCTGGCATTCTTTGAGCACTGACTCGGCAGGTGCTCTACGGAGCATTTTACAGGTGCTGTCTCACAAAATTTCCACAGCTTAACAGGTAGGGAAAACAAGCTTAAAATGGTTCTGTAATTGGCTCAATCCACAGCTAATGAGTCGTGGGACTGAGGTTTGAATCTAGACATTCTGACCCCGAATACTGTGCTCCTAACCACTCTACTGTGCTGTGCTGTGCTGGCTCTCTGCAGTGGATTGTCTTCCCTTTGGTAAACTGGAAACATGGAACAGGGTCCCAGAAGTCTCTTGTTCCTGGAAAAGCACTGAAGTGTAATGTGCCTACCTTCAGCTCAGAGCAAATGGGGTGGCCATACTGGTGTGTGGCCAAAAGGGTGGACTCTGCATAGGGCACCTGCTCCCGTGTGGCTCAGGACACCTTGCTCTGTTGCAGTGCTTCCAGAAGCAACTTGGATATCTGGCTGCAGGAAGTGTGAGCTCAGACATTGTTGAGTCCAGTTAAAGGGGGCTTCAAAAGTATTCTTATAACCCTATTGCCACCCTCTCCAGGCCAAGAGTGCCACAGTTTGTTTTTACAGTAAGTGCGTTTGTCTCAGTCAATGTAGATGAAAAAGTGTAAGTTTCATGTTTGTTTTCTCTCTCTCAGTTGTCCCTCATATCACAGATGCAATCCAGGAGTGGGTGATGAGACAGGCACTAATACCTGTAGATGAAGATGGCCTGGAACCTCAAGTGTGTGTTATTGAGGTTTGTATGATTCCTGCGCATGTGAACAAGTGTACTCATCTCCTTAGTCAGCCATCAACAACTGATTAGACAGTTCCCAGTGGAGCTCTTGGCCTTCCTATCTCTGTTGGTGCAGTATTTTGCAATGTGGCAGGTAAGAGCACAGTAACAGTCATGTGGAATGGCCATGCAGGGGAGAGCTGTAACTTTGCCGAAACAGTACTGCTTCTTTTTTATTTTTTTTTGCATTTATGGATTCACTTAGTACTGACTGTACCCATGAGTGGTGTGACACATTTTCATTTTCATCTATCTCTTGAGCAAGTCAGCAGATCTTTTGCTTTCCTCTGGCAAGAGCATTCGTCTCTGAATGCGCTTCATTTGGTTTCAGTATCTTTACTCCTGCTGTGCTGATCCTGGCTGTTGGAACTCACTGTTTCTCAGATAGCGGGAGACTCAAAAGTTCCAGCAGTTTGTTTAGAATTAATGCTTTTTTTTTTTTTTTTTTTTTGAGAGACAGGGTCTTTCCCTGTCACCCAGGCTGGAGTCCAGTGGAGCAGTCATGGCTCACTGCAACCTTGACCTCCTGGGCTCAAGCAATTCTCCCACCTTAGCCTCTGAGTAGCTGGGACTACGGATGCACACCACCATGGCTAGCTAGTTTTTGTACTTTTTTGGTAGAGACAGGGTTTTGGCATTTTGCCCAGGATGGTCTCCAACTCCCAGGCTCAAGCCATCTGCCTGCCTTGGCCTCCTAATGTGCTGGGATTACAGGTGTGAGTCACTGTGTGCAGCCAAATGATGTTTTTCAGTACAAAAATTATTTATGATTAATTAAAGAGATAAGATACAGGTTTTTTTTGGCTTCGGGACTGTGATACAGATAAAATTCTGACAACTCTCTCACCTGACCTTTTTCTTGAAATGATGTGGAAAGTTCCATAATAACCTTTGGGTTATTATGATGAGCCTGTCCAAAAGAGTAACCTTTTAGTACAAAGAGATTTCTAATTCCTATTAACTAACATTTTACAGGGGTAGAGAGTCCATGTTACGTAATTACTGATCACTGAATCAGGAAGACAAAACGATTGTTAGAAAACTAAACTGCCAGAGAAGGGTTTAGTGCCTAACCTCTGAAACAACTTTGTTCTTCTAGCTTGGTGGAACTGTGGGAGACATAGAAAGCATGCCCTTTATTGAGGCCTTCCGTCAGTTCCAATTCAAGGTCAAAAGAGAGAACTTTTGTAACATCCACGTCAGTCTAGTTCCCCAGGTAAGTAAGACATTGAAAGAGATACAGAGGAGGGAGGAAAGGTAAACTGGAATGGTTTTCACTCACTGTCTAGTAGTTTTCACTTGAGGTGCAGGAAACAGGGAATAAAGAACTTTGTAAGTATAAATTTGTTATAATCATACTTTTTTGAAAAGATCAAATAGAAAACATTTGAAAAATTCATCAGGGCAGTTGCATTTGCAGATGTGGATTGGCCGTGTGGATTTGTCTTTACTATATGGTGGCACTGGAATAAAGCGGCTGTTTTTTAAAGACAAATCTTGTAGAGAGGAGTCAGTAGTAACAAAAATTAGGAAGCTGGAAGCAGATGGATGCGTAGAGACTGACTAAGCTGACCTTAAGTGCTGGATCTTATGCCTGCAGCAACAAAAGCAGAGAAGCAGCCCTGTTTGCCTTGCAGAACCCCAAAAGCTCCGGAGTGGATGAATGCGAGGCTCACGTAGCTCCTGCTTCAGAAGACTCTGACTCTTGACATCTTTTTCCTCAAGTGCACAGTTGGGCGTTAGCCTCCTCCCACCTTGGCTGAAGACTGGAGGCTTGTTCTCTGGAGAGAGTTCCTGGACAAGCAGATACTAGGGACAGTTGAGGGCGGTAACACTGGACTACAAACATGGGATTGAGTGTAACGTTATGTTGTTGATACTCCTTGCCGCCTTCTGCCACTTGGTTCCCAGAATCATCATGCCCAGGCCTGGCCATTCTATGTGGGAGATTGTAAGATTCTCCTCTGGGGTGTGAATAGCCCAGGATAAAAGACATTGGCTCTGGAGTCTCCCCATGAAATAGGCCAGCCAGATTTTCACCATGACAAGCCTACCCACTCACACAGAACTTACAGGTAGCATTTAAGTATGAGCAGGCCTCCATACACTTGGAGAAAGCCTCTAACAGGTAAGAGACCAAAAAACAGAAAGAAACTTAGAGGGAACTGAGGCTCTACAAGCAGAGGAAACTTAAAAAAAGAACACCAAAAACCAAAAATGACCTGTCATTACTATTCTTAGAAAATTAAAAGGAGATAAGCTGTATCCATTGGATAAGAACTGGATGTTGTAAGAAAGAAACTGAGAGAACAGAAACGAATCCTTGGAAATTAAAAGTTGGATAGCAGTAATGAAAAAGTTAAGAGAAAGTAAGTTGAGAAAATACCTAAGGAAGTACAGCAAAAAGACCAAGAGACAAAAATAGGAGAGAAAAGGTAAGAAAATTAGTGGACCGGCTCGTAAGTTCTAACTTCCAAATAATAGGGGTTCCAAAAAATAAGAACAGAAATGGAAGTATGATCTGAACCCTAGGGGTCAGCAAACGATAGCATGTGGCCACATCAGCCTAACTCCCCAGGTTTTGGAAATCAGGTTTATGGAAATAAAGCTGTGTCCATTTGTTTATGTGCTGTCTGTGGCTGCTTTTGCACTAGAACAGTAGAGTTGAATAGTTGTGGCAGAGACTGTGTGGCCCACAAAACCTAAAATACTTATTATCAGGCCCTTTACAGAAAAAAATTTCTGACCCCTTATCTGAACACTTGAAGGAAATTTCTTGACATCAGTTTCTGGGTTGGAAGGGCCCACTTGGTGCCTAGCATACTGGATGACAGATGACCCACATCCAGGCATATTATTGTGAAGGTTCAGAGTCATGGGGTAGAAGTTCTAAAAGGCTCTAAAGAGAAAAATCAAGAATCATTGTGCTATTGGACCTTTCAGCAATAATATTGGAAGCTAAAAGACAGTGATGCTATTGCATTAAAAATCCCAGTGGAGGCTGGGCATGGTGGCTCAGACCTGTAAACTCAGCACTTTGGGAGACAGAGGTGGGATGACTGCTCGAGCCTATGAGTTTGAGACCAATTTGGGCAATGTGACAATACCCTGTCTCTATTTAAAAGAAAAAAATCCAACAGAAAATGATTTCCATCCTAGAAGTCCATACATAACCTGTCTATCTGTTAATTGTGAGAGGAGAGGAAAGATGATTTAGTACAGAAAGGAAAAGTGTGGCACGTGGTTTGGGAACAGTAAAAGAAGGCTGCAGGCACAAGAAAGTGTCTGATGGGGGCAGGATCCTCATTTAACAGGAAGATCAATAGAAAATGCCTCCAAGTAAATGTGAAGAAGTAGCAATGAAGCAAACTCTTCAACAGCCATTGAAGAGTGGTTGTTTCTAGGGATTGGAAAGGGCAGAGTGGGTTTGGGCCGGTACCGCTGTTCCTTTAGGACAAACTCTGTAGAACCATTTGACTCTAAAACTTTGACAAACATAAAAGCTAAATTACGTAAGTGACCAAATATTTCTTTATTAAAAGGGGTTTAAGGAAAATCATACTTGAAAATTCCTTATCAGAGAGAAACTAATTTTTTTTTTCTTTTGTAAAATAGCCGAGTTCAACAGGGGAACAGAAGACTAAACCAACCCAGAATAGTGTTCGGGAACTTAGAGGGCTTGGGCTTTCCCCAGATCTGGTAAGATTTCCTGATTTCTGGTTTCAGTGTCATCTCGTATGTCTTGTTAAGATCACTCCTTCATGACAGACAAGACTTCTGTCTTGTTGGCATGCTCTTGATAATTGATGGTGGAGAGAACAAGATTCGTGCTTTGAACTGGGGCTTAGTTTGCAAGATGTTCTTTCTTGGCTCGAGTTGGGTCTTGTACTCCCCAGGCCTTATTTTTCCTCTCAGTCCCTTTATTCTCATTTTCCCTTCTACCTGGGAACACTAATGGAGGAGAACCCCAGTGAGCTCTTTAGTTCATTATCTTTTCATTTGTACTATCATTCTCTTAGTTTCTCCACTTTGGCATTTAGGGATTTTGCTTTGAAACAGGTCATAATATTTTCATGGATTATGTGCCTGGTGCTGAGAGTTGACGTTTTTGTTCATCTTAACAACGTGATGTCTGTTTTAATTTGAATCAGGAAAATCCCGTACTTATCTTTTCCTTCTCTCTAAGCCATCGTGTTCTCTACTGCTAGGTTGTATGCAGGTGCTCAAATCCACTTGACACATCAGTGAAAGAGAAAATATCGATGTTCTGCCACGTCGAGCCTGAACAAGTGAGTAGAAATTCCATCTCTAATAAGTTGTTTTTTGCTTCGAATTGTCCTGAAGCCTCTTGATCAGTTTCGTGAGACTTGTGTTACTTCTAATTAGAGATTGTGGGGCTGTTCAGAAGAACAGACCACCATTGGCTCTGATTTGCCACACCCTGCCTCTCCTGCTTCCCCGAACACACTTGTGTCCCTCCTGCCGCTTCTCTGAGCCTACTTGTATTTTGTGCTTCAGCTGAGTGAAGTATCTTTCTGTTCCCCTAGTACCCCTCACTCTCCTATGATTGTACTTTTGCACTGGCTAATTTCTGTTAAGAACCCATGTCTCTCTCTCCCTGTTGGCCTGGCAGTCTCCTACTCACTTTCATCCTTCAGGGTCTACCAAAGACATGGTGTTGTCTGAGAAGCTTTAACTGCCAAACTCCAGGCCCTTGGCCCTCATGGTTAACTGCGTCCTTCTCTGGGCTCTTGTGTGGTGTCTCCTGTATGTTGCCGGTGGGCCTATCTTTCTGGTGTGTGTATGTGCGTGCATGCGTGTGTGTGTGTGTGTGTGTGTGTGTGTGTGTGTGTATGTTGCCAGTGGGCCCATCTTTCTGGTGTGTGTGTGTGCATGTGTGTGTGTGTGTGTGTGTATGTATGTATGTGTATGTGTGTCTCTGTATCTCTCCTCACAGACTCTGAGCTTCTGGAGGGCAAGGGCCACCTCATTCAACTTATGTTTCTGGTGCCTGGTGTCTAGGGTGTTGCAGGCTGTCACATAGATTTTAGTGTTTTTGTTACTGTACCTATGGTGCAGGAAATCCAAAATTGGAACTTGTAATGTATCTTAAGTGTGGTGCTTAGTATGGAAATTCTAGTGGTGTTACATTCAGCTTGTAGCTTTGTCCAGGTTTTAGATATTTCTGTCCTAACAAGTGAAGGAAATTCAATTCTGTAGCAGAATAGGTTGTCATTAAAATTGTTCAGTTTTTTTGTTGTCGTTTTAATTGAGACGGAGTCTCGCTCTCACCCAGGCTGGAGTGCAGTGATGTGATCTTGGCTCATTGCGACCCCCATCTCCCAGGTTCAAGTGGTTCTCCTGCCTCAGCTTTCCGTGTAGCTTGGATTACAGGCATGCACCACCATGCCCAGCTAATTTTGTATTTTTAGTAGAGATGGGGTTTCGCTGTGTTGGTCAGCCTGGCCTCAAACTCCTGATCTTAGGTGATCTACTCACCTTAGCCTCCTAAAGTGCTGAGATTACAGGCATGAGCCACCGTGCCTGGCCTTAAAATTATTGGCTATTAAAATGTAACAACTATTTCCATATTGAAGTTTCAGATTTTTTTGCTTTTTTTTTTTTCGAGATGGAGTTTTCGTTCTTTCACCCAGGCTGGAGTGCAGTGGCGAGATCTCAGCTCACTGCAACCTCCATCCCCTGGGTTCAAGTGATTCTCCTGCCTCAACCTCCCACGTAGCTGGGATTATAGGTGCCTGCCACCACACCCAGCTAATTTTTCTATTTTTAGTGGAGATGGGGTTTCACCATGTTGGCCAAGTTGGTCTCGAACTCCTGACCTCAGGTGATCCACCTGGCTAGGCTTCCTGAAGTACTAGGATTACAGGTGTGAGCCACCGCACCCAGCCTTCCTTTTTTATTTATTTATTTATTTTTTTCTTTTAAGAGACAAAGTCTTGCTCTGTTGCCCTAGCTAGAGTACAGTGGTGCTGTCATAGCTTACTGCAGTCTGAGCTTAAGCAACCCTCCTGACTCAGCCCCCTGAGTAGCTAGGACCATAGGTGGAAGGCACCATGCCCAGCTATTTTATCTTTTGTAGAGATGAGGTCTTGCTATGTTGCCCAGGCTGGTCTTGAACTCTTTGGGCTCAGGCAGTTTTGCTTCAGCCTCCCAAAATGCTGGGATTACAGGCATGAGCTGGCATGCCCAGCCTTGCTTATTTTTTAATCGGAATGTTTATCTTACTGAATAGACTTGATATAGCCTGAAACAAGTCTTTTATCATATATGTGATTTGCACATATTCTCTCCCAGTGTGTGCCTTGTCTTTTATTTTCTTTCTTTTTTTTTGAGATGGAGTCTTCCTCTGTTATTTAGACTGGAGTGCAGTGGTATGGGTCTCAGCTCCCTGCAACCTCTGCCTCTCGGGTTCAAGTGATTCTACTGCCTCAGCCTCCTGAGTAGCTGGGACTACAGGTGCCCGCCACCACGCCCGACTAATTTTTCTATTTTTAGTAGAGATAGGGTCTCCAGGCTGGTTGTGAACTCCTGATCTCAGGTGATCCACCCATCTCGGCCTCCCAAAGTGCTGGGATTACAGGTGTGAGCAACCATATGTGGCCTTCATTTTCTTAATAATGTCTTTTGAAGCACAGACACTTGTAAATTTCGATGAAATCCTATTTATTTTTTCTTTTATGGATTGTGCTTTCACTGTTGTATCTGAGAACTCCTTGCTTAACCAAGGTCATGAAGATTTTCTTGTAAATGTTTAGTTTTAGGTCTTCCATGATCCATTCTAGGTTAATTTTTCTGTGTAGTGTAAGGTAAGAGTTGAAATTTTTGCATGTGGATGTGGCTATCCACTTGTCTCACTCAGCCCCATTGTTGAAAAGATTATCCGTGGTTACTGTTCTATAATTTATAAAAATAAAGATACTTTATAGATTTACTAATCTTCATAAGTTGTTTAGATTTATTTGTAGCTATTCATAATTTTGTTACTATGAATTTATTAAAATTACATTTTCTGATTAGATATGGTCCATGTATAGGCACCCTGCTGAATTCTGTTCATCTGTAGCCTAGCAACCTTCCTAAAATTCTGTAGTACTGATTGTTTCCCTGTAAATTCTTTTGGTTTTTTATGGGTAAGCAGTGATACTGTATGCATTGTGGCAACTGTTGCTTGTTTTCTAGTTCATTTTTTTTTTCTTATCTAGTGGTAAAGGCTAATATCTTAAGTACATCATTGAATAGAAGTACTGAAAGTAGCCATTCTGGCCTTGTTCTGGACTTTAAATAGTATGCATTAATATTGATCCATATGATGTTTACTGTGTGTTTTTATATTACCACATTTTCTCTAATCTTAATTTACCAATAATTTTTATTATGAATTTGGTTTTGAATTTTTATCAAGTCTGCATCTATTGAGGTAATTTTTTCCCTTCTTAATCTATTTTCTATTTATGTGGTGAATTCCAGTGTTAAATTTTCTAATGCAATAGTTCTCAAACTTGACTGCACACTGGAATCACCTGGGGAGCTTTAAAAATGCTGATGCCTGCCTCCTACCCCCAGAGATTCCAATTCAAGTGGTCTAGGGTGCAGCATGGGCTTTGGACCTTTTATAAGCTCTGAGTGATTTCGATATGCAGCTGAGTTTGAGAACCACTCTTCTTAGTTAAGCCATTCATGGGTTTGTGGACATAATTTTTCAAAACTATGTTTGTGGTTTGGATCATTATTTTTTTGTTTGTTTGTTTTTGTTTTTTGAGACAGGCTCTGGCTCTGTCACCCAGGTTGGAGTGCAGTGACACAGTCTTGGCTCACTGCAACCTCTACCTCCCAGGCTCAAGTGATCCTCCTACCTTAGCCTCCTGAGTAGCTGGGACCATGGGCACGTATGCTACCACACCCAGTTAATTTTTTTGGTGTTTTTTTTGTTTTTTGTTTTTGTTTTTGTTTTTTGAGACAGTCTCACTCTGTCACCCAGGCTGGAGTGCAGTAGCACAGTCTCAGTACACTACAGCTTCGTTCCTCCCAAGCTCAAATGATTCTTCCACCTCAGCCACCCCTCAAGTAGCTGAGACCACAGGCACATGCTTCCATGCCTGGCTAAATTTTGTATTTTATTGTAGAGACAGTGTTTCACTATGTTGCCCAGGCTGATCTCGAACTTCTGAGCTTGAACAATCCTCCTGCCTTGGCCTCCCAAAGTGCAGGATACAAGCATAAGCCACCTTGCCCAGCCATGAATTTGTTTTAAAGGACTTTTGCATCCATGTTCTTAATAGATTGGCTACCATTTTTCTGTTCTATTCTTGAGTCTGTTTTAGTAATTTATCTTTTTCTAGAAAATTGTCCTTTTTTGTTGAGATTCACTTGGGGTGGCTGGCAAAATATTAAAGAAATATTAGGAAAAGTTATAGATTACTGTAGTCTCAAGCCTTTTGGAAGGCCGAAAGGTTTTACTGGGACAGGTTGAAGGCAGCCAGTCCATTAAGTTAGGGGAAGATAGGGACAATACAATAAGAGGATTTCCCAGTTTACCTCTGTTTACCCCACATCCCTTTGTCTCTGCTCCATTTACTCATGTAAACTTTGTGCTGGATGGTCCTCTCGGGGAAATCAAAGGGGAATTACCTGTTAATAGTGTTTACTCTGGGTCTGGAACCTAAAGCTTTTATCATTCATATAACCACCCTTTTAACCATGTTAATTACCCACAAGTGTGTTAACTTAAAACCTCTGTTATGACATTTTTTACTAAATAACAACGGAGAAGGAGTCTTGGTCAGTTGGTTGCATTTCGACTTCTAAAAGCAGCCAACGACCATCTCTAGCCCGCTTAAATCACTGTAATGTAAGAGTACATTTATTCATCAGTCATCGAGTCACGGTCTGCAGGCCAAACCTCCACAGGTGGTGGTCAGCATCTCACTTTTTGCTGTTTTCAAATACATAATATTTTCACAAGGACCCATAGCTAGTAGGAGGCTGTAAGCCTGGTAAGTTTTTGCTTTTATTTAATAACTTGCTTTTTTCTAAACAGGTGATCTGTGTCCACGATGTGTCATCCATCTACCGAGTCCCCTTGTTGTTAGAGGAGCAAGGTGTTGTAGATTATTTTCTTCGAAGACTTGACCTTCCTATTGAGAGGCAGCCAAGAAAAATGCTGATGAAATGGAAAGAGATGGCTGACAGGTTTGCCTGCAATGAGGAGTTGGGAGTGCTGGCCTTCTTTCTCGCTTTTGTAGGCTGGGGAAGCTGACACTAGCCCTAGCACTTTGCACTTCTGCCATCCATCCATTCATTAGAAGGGCATTTGTAGTAAGAGAGGTTCAGAAAGGATCTTAGCTATTACGTAGCTATGGCACAGACAAGGAGGTTCTGATGGGGCCAGGCCAGGTGCTGGGCCTCTAGACACTGAGTTTGGGTTGTGTCTTAACATGCTTGTCTCTTACCAACTAGATCAGTGCAGATGGGCGTCCTGGTGGCAGCGGGTGAGTGTACATACCCAAAGTCCACACAAATGGCTGACAATGGCTAGAGCACTCCTAGGCACCACCTCAGAGATCTGAGGTATGTTTGGGAATGTGTGTCTCACCCCACACCAGAAAGGGATCACATTAGAAAGAGGACGTGTTGCTGCCCACTCCACTACATCCTTTTAAGGCTAAGTGATGCTGTCACATCCCTTCAGAGATCTTCACTTCATGTCTTAGAGCAATGGGCAGGCCTTACTGTAGTTGCAAGATCAATATGATGACTTAGAAGCATTTGGAGAGGGCATACTCATTCCATTGCTCTGTGATAATTGTTTTTCATTTTGACATTTTTTCCTCCAGTCTTTGCTTACATGTAGCTACCAGGATGGCATAGTTTTATCACCTTTTTTCATAAAACATTATAAGCATTTTGCTCTGTTATTATATTTTACAATGAAAACTTTTAATGAGTATGGACTTTTCTATTTTGTGAATGTCCTATAATTTATTCGACACTTGCCTTCATAACATTAATTCTCGTGAATTGTCTGTTAATGTCTGTTAATATTTTTGCCCTTTGGTATGAAAAAAATTTTCTGTAGGCAAATTTGTCTGAGATTTTGAAACTGTCTCTTTGTAAGTTTCAAAACAAAAACAAAAAACTTACTTTCTTTACAAAGCCTGCCATTTTGATCTGAAAATTGCTTCCTCTTTACTAGTCTGTACACAGAACTCAGATAATAGCTATTCCTGTTACGGTCTTCCCAGATATGTTTTTGTTTTTTTTGGAGAGTGCGGTTTGAGGCAGGGTCTCAAACTGTTGCCTAGGCTGTAGTGCAGTGGTGCAGTCAGCTCACTGTAACCTCCAAATCCTGGGCTCAAGATCCTCCCATCTCAGCTTCCCAAAGTGCTGGGATTATGGGCATGAGCCACCACTCCTGGCCAGACATTTTTTTTTTTTCTCTTGAAATAGCTATTTTGGTCTCATGATAGTGTGTACCTTCTGAGTAACTGGGTGTTTTTTGACGTTTGTTTGATAGATACGATCGCTTGCTGGAGACCTGCTCTATTGCCCTTGTGGGCAAATACACGAAGTTCTCAGACTCCTACGCCTCCGTCATTAAGGCTCTGGAGCATTCTGCACTGGCCATCAACCACAAATTGGAAATCAAGGTAAGGAGGGTGGCACAGGTACAGCGGACCCATGAGCAGAGAAGCAGTCTGTATTCTCCTAGGTGCTGTGTTATATCTGCTTTCTGGTTTTGGAGCTCAGAATTACTTTTTAAGGAATTACTTTTTAGGGATTAAAAAGATGTGTGGTTGTTTCTGGTTTTGAGAAGACAGTAGAGCATTTTCAGGAATTAATGAAGAGGAGAGATGACTAGAGTAGAGGGTGAGAGAGACTGAGTGCTTGGCTGTGACTGTCAGATAATCAAATATAATGTGCTATTTCAGAAATGGGGGCTGCTGGTGGGCCATGGGCATGCTGCACAGTTGACGGCTGGAGGCTCTTGGAGACTTTGTTGGCACTTCGGCTGCCTTTCCTAACCGATGCTTCTCACTTATTGCAGAATGGGAATGACAGTATTCACCTCATAGAGCTGTGAGGTTTCTCTGGGATGTGTGGGGCATTCAGTAAGTGGTAGTTACTATGTTCTGGTCTGTCCCATGGTGGGCAGCAGCTGAACCAGTGGATTGGTGGGGCGTGGCCCTGCTTGTCTGTGGGTGGCAGTAGAGTCTCATGATTAAGAGCACGGATGCCTGAGCCAGGTGACCTGGGCTCAGATTCTGGCTCTGTCATTTATAAGCGGTGAGACCTAGACAACTTACTTAACCTGCTTTGTGCCTCAGTTTCCACATCTTTAAAAAGGGATGGTGATAGTGCCTTCCTCCTAGGGTTGTTGTAAGAAGTTCATGAATACAAAGTGCTGAGAACTATGCCTGGCATGTGGTAAGTGCTATGTCAGCTGCCCTTGAAAACCCTCCCTTCTGCCTGTCCCCTTTATTCCTTTTCTTCCCAGCCCATCGGCTAGAGCTTTTCAGGAGGAGATGAAGGCCAGAGGTGAAGTTGGGGCTCAGTGCTGAGGTTATTAACCTAGCCCCATGTAGCTGTCGCCACACTGGGGTTTGCTTTCTACTTCCCAGGTGTTTCTCAGCATGAGAATTTAGTTTGCTTTGTGCTGCTGGACAGGTTCCTGCAGAATGGCCTGTTGTTATGTGTTTTAAGAATTTAAATCTCATGACACAGCTCAGACTTATCATTTGCTAGTTCTTTCCGTCATTCATGTATTTTATCCACTTGGAGTTAGTCTGTGGCTGCCATGTGTTTGTTAGGTGGCAAAGGCTAAGAGATGGATGAAAAGGCCAGTCTCTGCGTTTAAGAAATATTGAGTCTTTTAGGTAGGAAGGGGGCACATACAGGAGAGGGTGAACCTGTCGTGGTAGACACATGAGGAAGACAAACTTCCCCATGGAGGAACCCCAGGGTGGGTTGGGTAGGATGGAGAAGGCTTGGGAGGGGCATTCCTGTTAGAATAGGTAGAGCACGTCCAAGGGCTTGGAGATGTGGAGCAGTTGGGAACTCTGTGGATGGAAATTGTGAATTGGAGGCTGTCTGGAGACAGGCTGGTAAGGGCCTGCTCACAATTCCATGAACTGGGCCAAATCTGGGTCTTACCCTGAGGTCCAGGGAAGTAACTGCAGGGTTTAGGTAGGAGATTGCAGAAAAATGATGGACACCTTAATTTTAAAAGTAGGCAAAAGATTTGAACAGACACTTCCAAAAGAAGATGCAGGTGATATACATGAAAAGGTGCTCAACACCTCTAATTGTCAGGGAAATCAATGTGCATGAAGTCACACTGACATAGTGATGCATACCTGCTGGAGTGTTAGAGAGGATGTGGAGCTCATACCTTGCTGCTGGGGGTGTAAAATGGCACCACCCCGTTAGAAAACAGTCTGGTGGTTTCTTATCAAGGTAGATGTGTGATCCAGTAAGTCCACTCCCAGATATTCACTTGAGAGACTTGAAAACATGTCCACAAAAAAAGATTTTTATTCAAATGGACAAATTATTCCTAATAGCTGAAATCTGGAAACAACCCAAATATTTATAACCTGTCAATGGATAAATTTATGTTTATTTATATAGTACAAAACTACTCAGCAATGAAAAGGAACAAACCAGGCTGAACACTGTGGCTCATGCCCATAATCCCAACACTTCGGAAGCCTCTGCTGTGGGAGGATCGCCTGAGGCCAGTAGTTTGAGACCAGACTGGTGAACATAGCGAGACCCTGTCTCTGCAAAAAAAAAAAAAAGCTAAAAAAGAAAAGGAACAAACCACTGATAAATACAGCAACATGGATGAACCTCAAACATACTAAGCAAAAGAGGCCAGACACAAAAGGTTATATACTATTTGGCTCCGTTTATGTGAGGTTCTGTAAGAGGCAAAACAAATCTGTGATGATAGAAGTTGGATCTGAGGTTGTTTGGGGTAGGAGGTAGAGGGGAAGACATTCTGGGAAGATGGTAACTTATGTTCTTTTTTTTAAATTAAATTTAATTTTTTTTTCTGAGACGAAGTCTGGCTCTGTCACCCAGGCCACAGTGCAGGGGCACAATCCCGGCTTACTGCCACCTCCACCTTCCAGGTTCAAGCAATTCTCCTGTCTCAGCCTCCCAGGTAGCTGGGACTACAGGTGTACACCACCACACCTGGCTAAATTTTTTTTTTTTTTTTAGTAGAGAGAGGGTTTCACCATCTTTGTTAAGACTAGTCTTCAACTCCTGACCTCAAGTGATCCACCCGCCTCCCAAAGTGCTGAGATTATAGGTGTGAGCCACCGTGCCCGGCTCATTAACTTAGGTTCTATATCTTGATCGGGGTGGTGGTCACACCTTCATGTGTATGTTTGACAAAACTCTTCAAAGTATGCACTTAAAATGCTTGTATTATTTTATTGTATGCGTATTATGCTTCAATACAGTAGAAAGAAAAGATAAAAACCCACAAAAACTAGGCGGAAGATGGGCTGGGGAGAGTGTCTTTGAACAGAAAGCCCACTAAAGCCCGCTGCAGAGGCTTAGCTGAGACCAGATCCTGAACAAAGTAGAGCGCAGAGAGAGAGATTTGGTAGTTTAATGATTTTGAAGTAAACTGTTGTGTTTTAAAACCTCATATTTAAAAAAATTTTAAGTTATTAAATATATTAAGACGATTCAAGCCAGAATTAAGAAAGAACATTGATGATATTATTGAAAAATTAAGAAGGCACAGCCTGAAGTCATGAGCCTGCTTCTTTCCTCCCTTGTCTGAATAACATCCAGTATATAGATTCTACGGACTTGGAGCCAAGTACCTCGCGAGAAGAGCCCGTGCGCTACCACGAAGCTTGGCAGAAGCTCTGTAGTGCTCAGTAAGTAGAGTTTACTGCCTTGGGTTTCCAGGGTTTTTTGGTTTTGTTTTAATGAAAAAAGTTGTCTGCTTTCCTGTGCCAGTGGTAGGTAATCGACTTGTTAAAATATGTTTTAATTATTGAAAAGACTACATGCTGTCTGATTTAATCCTTAAAAAATGCAGCTTATCAATATATCATTGGATCTGAAAATCTGTTCTAATTTTGTTGATAATGTTTGCTATATGCTTCTATTGATGAGGCATATTTAATGATTTTTCGTCCAGAACATTTGATGAGTACACATCAGTAGAGTCTCATAAATTGTTTTGGCAGCTGTTATTTATAATAGTAAAACATAAGCAAGAATTTCTGGTTCACTAGAACAGTTGAATGTTACTGAGGTATATACCTACTTCTGAGTCTATTGGTAAGTATGGCACACAGAGCTGATGAAGAAAGGCCTCCTTCTTACTCGGGAGCATTTTAAGCCAGTAGGTAAAATACATTGTTTATGTTAATAGATATATATTTAAAATTATGGGCTGGGCACAGTGGCTCATGCCTGTAATCCCAGTACTTTGGGAGGCTGAGGCAGGAGACTTGCTTGAGCCCAAAAGCTCAAGACCAGCCCGGGCAACATAGGGAGATGCTGTTTCTTCAACAGAAGCAACAACAAAACTAGTTGGGGGTGGCGGCACATGCCTGTGGTCCCAGCTTCTTGGGAGGTCAAGGCTGTAGTGAGCTGTGATCACACCAGTGCCCTCCAGCCTGGGTAACAGTGTGAGACCCGGTCTCAAGAAAAAAAAATTATGAACAACTCTACCAAAGATAGTGAGTGCAATGGCAATACTGCAATTATGTATACTGTCTTTTTCACTTGCAATAAGTATGTTCTTATGTTACTAAGAAAAGCCCATAGTTTTGTATGCAGTTTCTAAGTTCATAGTGTTTACGTACAATTCATTGTCTCAATAGCACAATGTATGGAGTAATTTCATGGCTTCAGTGTCTTGGTAATGGCTCTTATTGCAAGCTGGACTGGTAGAAAAGGGGAGTTGTCTTGTGGTTTGTTCTTTTGTGCAGTGGAGTGCTGGTTCCAGGGGGATTTGGTGTTCGAGGAACAGAAGGAAAAATCCAAGCAATTTCCTGGGCTCGGAATCAGAAAAAGCCTTTTTTGGGTAAGGAGCTCTGCAGTGCAGTCTTTACTCAGAGTAGGAAAGAGTGGGGAAAGGTGCCACGTGGGAGCCTATAAACAAAGTGGGGGGATTACTGAAAATTGCTCTCTTTGTGGATAGGAGCCCAAGTAAAAGCCTTTGTGTTTGTCTTTGGAGATGAATCCAGTCTTTTTAAAATGGAAAGCTTATTTATCCTTATGAGCTACGTGTAGATGTCATGGAATTTTGAGAGAATAAACTGTGAATTAGGAAATCCTGGCCATTTAATGAACCCAGCCATTTGCAGTACATGTAAGGTTGAGTTTTATATCCGCCTCACTTGGCACAACAGCTGACTGTAATCGGGCAAAATGATTTTGGATGCCTCCTGGTACTGTACATTTTAGTAATTTTCAGCTTTGTCAATTGTAAATAAAAACTTAATGGTAGAGGATAAGAAAACTTGAATTTTAAAGTACTGAGGCTAGGCATGGTGGTTCATGCCTGTAAACTGAACACTTGTAGAGGCTGAGGCAGGAGGATTGCTGGATCCCAGAAATTCAAGGCTGTAGTGAGCCAAGATTGCTCCACTGCACTCCAGACTGGGCAACAGCAAGACCCTGTCTTGTGGGGGAAAAAGTAGTGAATAGAATATTGTATACTTCTAAAATCAGATGACTTTGCAAATCTAGAATTTTCATGTACCTTACACACAGTTTTTGAAATCTAATTCAAGTAAAGTGTAACAGCAGAGAGTACTTGTTCGTAGCAGGAAGTTATGAGTTTGCGATTATAATTCTCTGAATAAAGGGCACAAAGGACATTGCAGAGGCTGGTGGGAAAAGTAAGAACTACCTTTTCAATGGAGCGTTGTTTGTTTTTCCCCCGACTGGAAGGCGTTTGCTTGGGAATGCAGTTGGCAGTGGTTGAATTCTCAAGAAACGTGCTGGGATGGGAAGGTAAGTGTGCATTAAGACCATTCAATTCCCGCTTGCGTATTTCTGGAGGATATGAGGCCTGTTGCTGCCTGGATGATCAGGAGCTATGGAGAGGGGAAGGCCTGGGTTCCAAGTACCTCATGCCATGTGGTAAGGGGGCTGCCTTGCTTCCTGAGGAACAGTGCAGCTCCTCCACGCAGGAAGGAGGGAGTACAGCCAGACTCCCTCCTTTGCCTTATGCCCCTGCATTTCCTGTTGTTGAGATTCTGTCACTTTGATCACCGTGGCCACCATCCTGAAGCTGGTGCCTGGAGAGAAGTCCTTGTCCTAAGTGAGGCTTTGGGCAGTTATGAACCTGGGCTCTGTAGCTACTGAACCTGGGCTCAGATTCCGACTTTATCACTTATAAGTGATTTTTAAGCAAATTACTTAGCGTTTATGGGCCTCTGTTTTTTCTGTAAGATGGGAGTAATGATGGTACATACTTCACATGGTTATAAGAATTATGGGAAATAATATATGTAACAGTCTCTAGCAGTGCCTGGAAAATAGGAAGTGCTCAGATAATATCAGCTCTTTGCCTAGCTGTGTATTACTGTGTGACAGACCTCTCTAAAGCTCCTGGCTCCCAACAGCAGTGACTTCTCATCTCTCAGTATTCTGTGGGTTGGCTCAGTATCTGAGATCGCATGCTCCTGCCTTGCATTCAGCTGTGCACTAGCCCAGCAGGGACATCAAGATGGTCTCTCCATGTAGTGGCTCATCATTCATTATTCCAGCCCAAGCTTCCTCACACAGGGCGAGCAGCTGGCTTCCAAAATGACAGGCCTACTGTGCAGGCACTTATCAGGCCTGCTGATGTCCCATTGGCCAAAGCAAGTCACATGGCCAAGCCCCGAGTCGGTGGGCATGGGGAACATGTGTGAGGACTGAGCATGCTGTATTGGGGCCACCGATGGAATAATCCACCACAGCCCATTTGGTCGCTTAGCCCACCGACAAATACTAGATTTTCAGAAAGACGTTGTAAATTCTATGGGAAATAAAGTAAGCTGAAGGAATGTAAAAACAGTTTGACTTTATAAAGTATAGGTGACTCTTCAGTGGCCAGCATGTGGTTAGGGCTAGTTTCATTCACCTTTCCCTGAGAGGCTGCTTCACAGTGACTTGGGGGTGTGGCTCAGTTTGGTAGGCAGCATGCCCTTGCGTGCTGGCTTCTGAGTCCTGGCAGGTACTGTCTTATCACCCACCACCCAGAGCTGGCTTTCTGGGCCCCCTGGATCCTTCAGAGCCCCAGACCCATGCCTCTCACTCAGGTTCCCATATTGGTAGGTACCTTGGTGATGAGCTTACACTTTAGTTGAGAGTGGACCCTGGTTCAGGCCAGGAGGGGAACAGTGCCCAGCATTCACATAGAACCAGACTCGGTACCAGGAACTTGGTCCTTTGCTGTTTGGTCTTTAGTGGTTTTGCTTTGGTTAGACAGTCAGTTCAATGAAGGATAGAAGGGTTGAGTTGAAATCAGTTAACTGACTGATTGAGCTATTGAACGAAACAGTTGACTAGGGCAATGTATTAGCTGCTGATGGTGAAAGAAGTATAGAAGAAATAGTACTTATTCATCTTTGAGAGACAGTGTCTGAAACATTAAGACAATGTACAAACTTGGCCGGGCACGGTGGCTCACACCTGTAATCCCAGCACTTTGGGAGGTTGAGGTGGGTTGATCACTTGAGGCCAGCAGTTCAAGACCAGCCTGGCTAACATGGAGAAACTCTGTCTCTACTAAAAATACAAAAATTAACCAGGTATATTGGTGTGTGCCTGTAATCCCAGCTACTTGGGAGGACAAGACATGAGAATCTTGAATTCCTGAGGTGTAGGTTACAGTGAGACGAAATTATGCCATTGCACTCCAGCCTGGGTGACAGAGTGAAACTGTCTCAAAAAAAAAAAAATACATATATATATATGTGAATGAACTGTCATAGGTTGGGCACTATGGCTCACACCTGTAATCCCAGCACTTTGGGAGGCTGAGGTGGGTGGATTACCTGAGGTTGGGAGTTTAAGACCAGCCTGACCAATATGGAGAAACCTGTCTCTACTAAAAATACAAAATAGTTGGGCATGGTGGCACATACCTGTAATCCCAGCTATTCAGGAGGCTGCGGCAGGAGAATCACTTGAACCTGGGAGGCGGAGGTTGCGGTGAGCCAAGATCATGCCATTGCACTCCAGCCTGGGCAACAAGAATGAAACACCATCTCAAAAAAAAAAAAAGCTGTTATAAAGATGTAGTATTTAATTAAAAATTACTAGGTTATGCCATTAGTTTTGATTTCCCCATTTTGTACTGATTGACTTTCTAGAGAGTTATAAACTTCATGGAAAACAAATTCACCTGTGTGTGTGTTGAGTATTTTATGTCTTAAAAATGCTATATTTATTGCCTGGTGGCTTGTACCTGTAATTCCAGTACTTTGGGAGGCCAGGCAGGAGGATTGATTGAGCCCAAGTATTTGACACTAGCCTAGGCAATATAGCCTCTGCCTCTACAAAAACAAAAATATTAGCTATGCGTGGTAGTTTGACCTACTTGGGAGGCTAAGGCTAGAGGATTGCTTGAAGCCAGGAGTTCAAGGCTGCAGTGAGCTATGATCACACCACTGCACTCCAGCCTGGACAACAGAGTGAGATATTGTCTGGGGGTGAGGTCAGGGGGATGCTGTCTCTACTTTTTGTTCTAATCACTGATTTTTAAACTAAGGGGGGAAATAGCGTTTAGAGCTTAGCAGTGAAACTATTAAACAATCACTTTTGTTTGTAACTATTTTTGTAATAAGTATTTTGGTATTTCAGATGCCAATTCTACAGAGTTTGACCCTAAGACCAGTCATCCTGTGGTGAGTCCAGTGTTTGAACCTCCACAGGGCTTAGAAGGGTGTGGAAAGGTGTTTGTGAACATGATTGATGTTTAGAGACAGAAAGTGAGACCACTTGAGTTCATCCCAAAGAACCCTGAGGTCTTGGGCACTCAGACCTACCAGATAGGAAAACCTTTCCTTTTTCATTATGTAATTCCTTCCTAATCTTTCCAATTGACCACAGAAAGTTTTTAAGACAGGTACCAGCCCAGACAACCAGAGGGGATTCCTGATTAAAATTATTCTCCATCCCTGCTCCCCTCAACTCCTAGAACATGGCATAGATACTAATAAGAGACCCTGGCATATGTACTTACTCTGTGCCAGCCACTGTTCTCACCACTTTCATGTGTATATTATATGTTAATTCATGGGATCCCCAGCCATAGTCCTGGGAGATCTGCTGGGATGGAGCACTGGTTAGCTTAACTGCATCCAAAGCTCTTCCAGGCTGGTGTATCTCATGTTAGCTCTCATGCCAAGGGCGTGTGGCATTCTCAGCCCTCACTGTTAGGCACATGGAGGAGAGACGATGCCTTTATTTACCTTGGAATTCCCAGCCCAGGAGGGAAAGGCACTTACTTACCTTTTTCAGCATTCAATAAATGTGGTGCCTACTATGTGCTGGGGCTGCCTTTGTCACCATGGACACTGTGCTAAATGAGATGGACAACGTTCTTGATCTCACAGCACTTAGCATCAGTATGTGTTTGTTGACCTGAAATTGAACTTTGCTGATACTAAGGCCTGAGGAGTGGACCAGCAAATGTTTTGAAGCATGGGGGCTTTGGGGTGGGGAGGAGCAGGGCACAGAGGAGAGCCTGGAGGTCAGAAGGTGCCTGGGAACACTGGGCTGAGAGGTGGACTGGGCCATCAGTGTATGGCCCACCCCGTCCGCAGATGCTTGCTCAGCTGTGGGGTGCTAGGCCTGCATCCCTTGCCTTGGAGCTGTCATCAGGCTAGCTGGGGCAACAGACATGTTATGACACATCCAGTCCATGTCTGTGGTGCTGTATCAGTCTTTCTGAGGATGTGATGCTTACTGTCCACAGTGCTGGGGTGGGACTAGCCTGGGGAGGGGCTGCTGTGGTCCTGCATGCAGACTAGGAGGACAGGCTGAAGGACGGATCCTCCACCCAACTGAGGTTAGATGCCAACTGGGAGGCATTTTCTCCTGTGACAAAATGTCTCATAAGGAGGGCTTGGAGAATTAGACCCTACTCACAAGCCTTTTCCATCCAGCCCAACCAAGGAGGTTTCTCTCCCAACAGAAGCAGAGTTCTGTAGTTGGTGTCTGTTTTCTGAACATCTCCAGGTCGTAGACATGCCAGAACACAACCCAGGGCAGATGGGCGGAACCATGAGGCTGGGCAAGAGGAGAACCCTGTTCCAGACCAAGAACTCAGTCATGAGTAAGAGCTGCCTCACGCTGGCCCAGCCTTTGGCTCTGTGCGCCCAGGACATGTGTCTTAGGGTGGTGCCATGGCTTCGAGGAACCAGGCTGGCTTTTTTTTTTGGTTTCGTTCTTGCTTTTGAAGTTCTTTCTTTCCTCTCTTATTGATGCCCTTTTAGGATGCACGGTAATAGCCAGAGAAACAATGTAGGTCTTAGAAAGGCCACTGGCAGTGCAGTCAGACTCCTAGGCATGTGCGCCTCAGCAGAATGAAGCAGTGAGGTTACATTTATCCTTATGGGTTACTTTCTTATTAAGACCAACCATATAAATTACTGATGTTTGGCAATTTTTGTCACACAAAAATGTCAATTTCATATGATTCAGCCTAAACAGATTCTGTTCTAAAAAAGTACTAATAGGTGCTGAAGGGGGTAATTTTGGGAGGAAAATATTTAAGAAAAGGGCTGTTACACAGATTTCCTTCTTGTCTACTGGAAAAATTCCCCCTTTACCATATTAGCAGAAGCGCCCTGTGTCTCTCCCCGTGTTCTGTAGCAGCATAGTTGGAGCCACTTGAGTGTGGGATCTTTCTCTTCTCAACTCTAATGTTCTGTGGATTTGGGGATCTTGAGGCACCCATGAAATGAGTCAGTAAAGCAGCCCATTCGCAAATGCCCTGCTTGTTCACATGGAGCCACTGGGGGCTGATGACCTCTGATGACTGCGCGGTCATCAGAGGTCATCTCTGTAGTTCTTAAAATGCCTCCTGTCCCCTGCGTTCCCAGAGCCTTGCCGTTTCATACATCCTGATTTGTTTTCCAAGACAGTTTTCTAGCAGCAAAGTGCCCATACTTTGCAATCATGTGTTTGAAGGGGTAGTGAGAGTCTGTTTCTGTTACGGTTTTCTTTAGTGTTGTCAGAAAGAGTCAGAGCCCAAGAATTAGTCTAAACTGTGCTGTTAAGAGGAGGTGACCTTAGCAGATTCATAGAAACAGCCCTCTAAAGACCTGGCTACATAGATGATGAAAAGTAAAGCGGGAAGCAGGATGCCTTTGTAATGCATCATCCTGTGAGATCAGAATTCTCTACATCCAACCCGTTTGTCTTGCCAGGGAAACTGTACGGAGACGCAGACTACTTGGAAGAGAGGCACCGCCACCGATTTGAGGTAAGGATTCCAGCTTGTTCTTGGTACTCTGGAAAGCTAGTGAGCTGAGAGACCAGCAGAATTATTTTCCATGCCTCAACAGGTGAATCCAGTCTTGAAGAAGTGTTTGGAAGAACAAGGCCTGAAGTTCGTTGGCCAAGATGTTGAAGGAGAGAGAATGGAAATTGTGGAGTTGGAAGGTGATTACTCGGGCAGTTGTATTTAATGGAAAACTTAGTAAAGTTTTCTTGGCATATGGGAAACTGTAAACATGTGATCTTGTTGCTCCTGACCTAACAGAATTAGGAAGCAGCACAGAGGTCTGGTGAGGGAAGGAATCTTGATAAACGAGAGGTCTGGACCCAGAAAGTTATTTCTGGTCCATGGCCTTCCTCAGGGAGCCATTTAACTTCTGGCTTCAGTTTCTCCTCCTCCAAAATGCTTGGACTTGGCACTAAAGCTGCTTCAGCCCTCACCTCAACCGCATGACTCAGTCTACAGAAGTCCTAGGAGCCAGCGTCTTGGGTGGGACCCTGGACGGAGGCCTTCAGCCAGGAGGGGACAGCACAAGCAGTGCTGCAGAGAGGGTGTCAGATCATGCATGGTTTGAGATTACCTTTACCTAGATTCAAATGAGAAAGTCATTTTCAGATTATTTTAGGGCCTTTGGAAACATGAAACATGTAACTAGATTTTGTTCTTACACACTTTGTGCATAACCTTCACAATGAGGCTGTTTTCTTTTGAATCTATTTCAGATCATCCCTTTTTTGTTGGGGTTCAGTACCACCCTGAGTTCCTGTCCAGACCTATCAAGCCCTCCCCACCATATTTTGGCCTCCTCCTGGCCTCTGTGGGGCGACTCCCACATTACCTCCAGAAAGGCTGCAGGCTCTCGCCCAGGTAGGCACACTCTTTGCTTTAGTAATCCATTTGTCTTCTCTAGTCCTTTAGATGATCACTGATTGATTACAGCAACACATCAGTCAGTCATAAGAAAAAAAAGCCACAGATGCCTGGGGTGAAAGTTCCTGTCCTTTCCCAGAGCTTCTCACGGTGCTTCTCCAGCATATTGGCCAGGTCCCCCTTTCTGCAGCATCTGGTGGTGCTGACTGGATCACGCTTGTCATAGGACCCTCTGGCCCATGTTAAGGGGAACTAGTTTTCCCGGGAAGTAAGCCACAACATGGGTAGATTTATGCCCCATTGTGACTTTTATCCAGAACCAGTACTCAGAGTTGGTGGTAGGGTATGTGACTAAAGTATAAATGGAATGTTTATCTTTCGTAGCCAGAAGAAGGAAATCCTTCTGCAGCTTCTTGCTAAATATATTATGTAGCAAACGGTCTGTCTGATTTCTGCTGTGTGCAGACAGGTGTTCCTGTAGGAACCGTGGCTACAAAAACAGGGATGTAAAGTGAGTTTTTGGTGGGAGATGATGAATAAACCATCTGAATTCTACAGGGACACCTATAGTGACAGAAGTGGAAGCAGCTCCCCTGACTCTGAGATTACTGATCTGAAGTTTCCGTCAATAAATCATGACTGATCTTGTAGCGTAAGTGGTATTTTAAAGTTTTAGTTTAAAAAAAAAAAACAGTGATAACACACTGCAATTGCAAGAATATCATGAAAGTTTATAGCTGAAAATTTTTATTTGCCAGAGAATGAAAGTGGTGGGGTCTTGAATGTAATCCACAGGTGGAGAGAGAAGAAAAAGGAAGCGGTGAGGTCAGTGTGGGTATCACATGGGCAGTCCTTCCTCCAGGTTGCAGTGCACCTCCCAGTCCTGCCCAGGGGACTACAGCTTGGGCAGACACGGTCACTGGGCAGTTGTCTCATTACTGATTACTACATTCTGGTGCCAGTCTGACCAGTTCTGGGAGGTCACCCTACTGTTTGATGTAGCTATAAATTTGGAGATCTTGAAGGAAGGGACAGGTATGACAATGGCATTTGTCATTTCTGCAGAGCCTCAGGTTTTCATCAGGAAGTACTTTAAAGCTGACACTGCTTAGAGAACAGTTTCTGTTGATTGCTGCTTATTCTGGAATTCCTTCCACATCAGAACAGTTGTCAAACAGACATCGACTGTTTGTCTTTAGTGACAGGGTTTGAGGTTCATAAAGTGCAGTAACTGTGGGCACTGCCGCGAATCGTAACTATCCTTTAAGATAACTGCATTGGGCTGGGCGCAGTGGCTCACGCCTGTAACCCCAGCACTTTGGGAGGCTGAGGCAGGTGGATCATGAGATCAGGAGATGAAGACCATCCTGGCTAACATGGTAAAACTCCATCTCTGCAAAAATAAGCTGCGTGTGGCAGCACACGCCTGTAATCCCAGCTACTCAGGTGGCTGAGCCAGGAGACTCACTTGAACCCGGAATGTGGAGGTTGCAGTGAGCCGAGATTGCGCCACTGCACTCCAGCCTGGGTGATGAGACTCCATCTCAAAAAAAAGAAAAGAAAAATGCGTGGATTGTGTTGGCGGAAGTACGCGTTCTGCTGGTGAGGTATCAAATGAGGGGGTGTCCGTCAGAAATCTGGGGTCTGGAAAGAGAACCAGGGGTGTGGATGTGGTCCCACTGCTCCTGCCCTGAGGCCTGGGCAAGGGGAGCTCCTGAATCCTGCACACCATATATTAATCACCAGTGGGCCTCTGGAGCTGGGCCAGTGCTGGTCTGACCTGCTGATCACAGCTGTTTCCCCTCCTGCTGTGGTTGGTTGGCCCCCTGTCCTGTGATAGCCTAAGTAGTTGGTGGGTAGGCATGAGAAGTTAGTATCAGGAAGAGGGCCTGTGTGTTAGGTAAGCATTTAACACAGATGGACACATTAATCCCTGACTAGAGAGTTTGCTATAGGCTGTTTCACAGTCTAAGGAACTGATATAAAAAGAAATGTTACCAGTGAAGGAGGTAGATATTTGGTTAGTCATGGAATTTCTGACTGCAAGTGGAGAATTGTCTGTTAGTGGCACCGTTAAGAGGCCGGGTGCTGTGGAGAAGGATTGCTTGCATAGGGCGGATGTAGAAGTCGATGTGTGAGGTCTTGAAAATGTCTGATTCCGTAGGAATTATAAATTTAGCTTCTAATTATTCATATTAGGCTCCTTCTATTGTTCTGCCATGAAAAAAAACAGGCTTAGTTTCCCATGGCAGCTGATTAGAAATTCTAACTTTTCTGCTTTAATATACATCATGTAATTCATTTTTTTTTCTTTTAAACAGGGATGATACTTCAAGAGACCCTTCAAACTTGGGTAGAGTTTACAGCTCTGACGTTACACTTGGCTTTCGACACTTTCTTTAAATTATGTTTTTATTAAGATTATTTTATTATGGGGAAAGGTATTTGGGAAACCTGTCACTTGCATGTCCCATCATGTGTACTGGCTTCTCCGTGCTGTTTGCCTGTTTTGTGACACTCTCCTTGTAGTTTTTGAGATGCAGCAGAACATCGGGATAGGAACCGATGGTGGGTGGGGCTGCAGAGTGCCCCCTTGGTCACCTGTTTCTCAACTACCTCGTGTCATTGCAGATGCTAGTGTGTTGCCTGTCGCTTTCCCTTGGATGCCTAGACCATTATAAAGTGTGCCACCTAGACTTACTGAGCATGGAGAGAGGATTTTAGCTAGGATTCGAACACTTGGTGCTGGGAACCTAAGGGTGTTGCTTGCCATTAAGCTATGAAACCAGAGACAAAATCTCTATACTGCCCTGAGTTGGGGGGATTCTCAGTGCTAACTGTGGCTGGTCCTCATCATCCAAAAGAGAGGGTCAGTTTGGTGTCACATGAAACACCAAGATGTCTGTCTCTGAAGTGTGATGTTAAAATCCCCATGCCTCTGGCTGCGCTTGCTATTTCTGGGGCTGGGAAACACTCCTTGCATCAAGGGGTCACTTGAAAAGAATAAAGAATCTTTTGGGGAAGCGTCCTCTAAAACCCTCTCATAGACAGACAGCTTTGACTCGAGGGTACGTTTTTCTTCCGGGATGGTGTTACCGCAGTGGAAAGGGCAGTATGAAGTCATTTTCTTAATGTGAGCTAACGATAGGCACAGCTGTGTGCCACTGTATTCTCGCTGGACTCAATGTGTACTCTTAACTTAAGAAATAAATAATGCAGAACAAGAGACACACTTTGCTTCTCACTCTCTTTACGTTATTGGCCAGTTGGGAAGCGTCTTGAGCACGGTGCTGGGCGTGCCTGTGTGAAGTCACCTGATTTGTCAGTGTCTGCAGCCTTAAGTCAGCAGACGACCTGAGAGCTTGTTTAAAAACTAAGAAAGGAGGCTTTCTTTTTCATAGGAACCAGAATTTTTCATGAAGCTTCAAATATAGGTTCTCAGCATGTAGAGCGAGATGAAAAGGTGCTGGTGTTTAGTATGCTACTGCATGACTGAAAAAGGGGAGGGATAAGCATGTTTAGGAAGGCGGTCCTTTCCTCTGCCAGGCACTGGACGTGGGACCCCATATACACAGCCAGGGAGCAGTGGGCCAGACTCTTAAGCAGCAGAACTGCTTGTTATGGTGCTTTGAATGTGGCTGATTGAGCATAATTTTAACGCCTTCTCCCACCTGGTGGTCCCAGCAGATAGCCTTCATTTTAAATTTAATTTTTTTTTTCTTTTTTTGAGTCAGGATCTCACACTGTTGCCCAGGTTGGATTGCAGTAGCACAAACAAGGCTCAGTGCAGTCTCAACCTCCTGGGCTCACAAGATCCTCCTGCCTCAGCCTCCCAAGTAGCTGGGACTACAGGTGTACCCCATCATGCCCACCTAATTAATTTTTTTTATGCAGACAGGGTCTTGCCATGTTGACCAGGCTGGAATTGAACTCCTGGCCTCAAGCGATCCTCCCACCTCGGCCTCCCAAAGTGTGGGGATTACAGGCATGAGCCATTGCACCCGGTCAGTAGTGGTTTTTTTTGTTTTTGTTTTTAATTAAACATTCCCCAGACTGAGGGTCTGACATGCCCATTGGTGACATCATGGCTCCCCACAATGGTTGGATGTGTGGGTGGTGTGAAAAAGCCTCCCAGTAGTCATGTTCCTGCTCTTACCTTTAAGGTCACTTTGGCTGATCATCTGTCAAGTGCTGGCCACATATGTAAGGTTTCTGAAAAAAGATTGCAAATGGTCTCCAGGGCTGGCAGAGCCCAAGCTGTCCTGCCACCCTGGCTATAGCAGATAGGATAGGGCTGAAGCTGGATTTACAGGGCACCCTGTGCCCAGTGTTTATTGACCAGGGCCCAGAGGTGGGGTAGAAAGCTGGCCACATTCCTCCTGTGGCCTTCCCATAAACTTCCCTTAGTCCGGGGGATCTGGGCAGGTTCTTAGCAGTCTGGAGCGGTGGGGCTGTAAGCCTGACTTCACCCTTCCTTCATAGAAATCTGCTGTTTTTCCCCAGAAAACATTTCTGAGAATTGTGATGCCTGGACTAGCATTTAGCATGGTACCTGGACCATGGAAGGTGCTCAGAAAATGTCACTCCTCTACCTTCTTAACACATTTGCAAAGTTTTTGAGCAGCCTTGGTGACCTTGGGGTAGCTCAGTGGGTGAGTAGCAGGAGTTTGCTAACCTGCCATGATGCAGGCACCCACCATCCCATTGGCCCCCATAACCAGCATGGATGGCAGCCGAGGCAAGGGCTGCATGCTGTTTGCTAAGTGGTAAAAAGCAGGTCTCAGAGCAGTTGTGAGGGCCCAGGAGATGTCATTTGGCTGCTGAATGGAGGGGCTGAGGTTCCAAAGTTCTCGTCTGTGTGCTCTGTGGATGTGACCAGGGGCCGCAGTTTTAGGGGATCAACTGAAGTGTGTTCCAGGGGACACCAGTCCTGTGAAATGCCCTGTTCAACAAGGTCTGGCGATTTTCTGGTGGCTCAGACTCCAAATTTAGGAGTATTCTTAATTGTGTCATCAGCAGGTATTTGTTGGGTGTCTACTACATGCCAGCCATGCCCAAACTTCCCTGTGCCCCAGAGCAGGTATTCAGTGGGGGGAACACCAAATATAAGCTAGAGTGTGGCAGTTCATATATGGAGAAAAAGGATGGCAGCAAGCAGGGGAGTGGCAGTGCTGGGAGGGTGGTGGCTTTAAAATAGGGCGGGTGGGAAAACAGCATGGACTTGGAGGTGGAGAGGAAAGGAAACAGGCAGCTTTCTAGTGCAGAGGCCTTGAGGCAGGAGTGCACGTGGTAGGTGTGGCTGAAGTGGCATGTGCAGGGGCAGAAGACATTGAGGTCAGGTGGGCTAGGTCGTGGAGAATTGATTGTAGGCCATCATTTGGGCTTTGCTCTTGAAGAGAATTTGGAGGTCTGTGGGCGCAGGCACGGCATGAATGTGATCAGACTCTGGCTTTACAGTCTGATTTGGCTGGTGGAGACAGCAGGAGAAACGGCCAGAGGCAGGAAGCCTCCAGTGGCCGGAGGGGTCTTTCTGTTTTTTTTTTGTTTGTTTTTTTTAAGCTAATGGCCTTACTGGGCCAGAGGGGTCTTGGAAAGGAGCTGAAACCGTTAGTGTGAGGTGTTGCTCTGTGCCACAGCTGGCATAGACACAGGGCATTGGCCTGATGGTGACAAAATGCCGCTGCCCCTTGCCATTGTCACTGTCTTATAGATGAAGAACTGAAGCACAGAGGCACAGCACTTTGCCCCACGGCACCTGGTCTTTAAGACAGAGCTGGCCTGGAGCCTGAGGGGCTAGGCTTCCTGCCCTCACATGTCTGTCCTCTGCCTCCTGGACAGAGGTGGGCTGGGCATGGGACTCACGACCCTGCAGCATCTGACCGGCTGACCAAGTTTCCTAGAAAGAACCATTCTTGTCCCAGGTACATGTAATTTATTATGGAGCTTTGACAGTCACAAGTTCTGGCAAATCAGGGGTGGGGGCTGCATGGTGGCCTCTTGCCCTGTAACCACAGTCACCAAATATGCCATGCCATTTGCGAGGGGCTTTCCTGAGATGACCGATTCCTCTCTGGCACTGTCTAGCCAACTGAAGTCACAGACCTCAACCTGGGCCAAATGAGTGTTTTAGGGAGAGGAACAATCTCTTACAGCTCAGCCCTAGGGGAGCTCTGGAACTCTTATAGCTCAGCCTTAGGGGAACACCTTCTTTCTGAAAGTAAGGTTGCTTGGGGACAGGGCTGAGAGCAATTTCTTAGCTACACAGACGGGTCCGTCAGGGTTGAAGCCACATGGGCACCTGCTCATGTGCCATGTTGAAGAAGCCCCTGTCCACATCTCAGTGGCCTGCATGGGCTTTATTGGTCGGCCTTAGGCTCAAATGGGAAACCCCTGCATCTTGGGTGGAGAGCTCCGCGCCGTCCTGCGACTCCCCAGGCCCTCACAGGACACAGCAGGTGCAAGACACCGGCCCGCGTTGCTGCAGCTGCTCCTGAAGCTGCTCTTTCTCCATCGTCAGCGCCTTCACCTTCTCCTCCAGCTTGCCCAGCTCCACCAGCCACCTCTGAGGGGACATGGGAGATGCACGTGGCTAAGCCCGCATGGTCTCAGGCCTGTCTATCCTCCATCTGGGGCCAAACTGAGGGAGGAAGGCAAAGCCCAGGGAGCCTGGAAGCCTTCTCAGCTAGAGGGGAAGTCAGGCCCCTTGGCCTGCTGCCGCCTTTGACCACATCAGTCTGAGGGAAGCTGCTGGCTACTGACCCTGGAAGAGGGCCTCCTCCATGCCGGCAGGCCATGTCCCCCCTCACTGTCGGCCCCTTGTCCTCCACTCTCCCCTGCTTCCCTCTTGAAAAAGCTCTTCCTTGGAACTGTGTCCAGCACCCCTCCACCCCTTTTCTTTAGGGCCTCCCCTAAAATGCGGTGAACAGTCCTTGGGGTTTTCTGGTGACTTCTCAACATTCCAATCTCCTGCTCCCTCAGCCGCTCAAGATCCAGTGCGTTAACTGCCCAAGTAGGAGGTAAGGGGTTTCAGGCACCCATGAAAGGAAGTTACTGCATAGATTTTTAAAGGAGAGGACATGGGCCTCTCCGTCCCCACCAGCCACCTAACCGTGGAGGATGGGATGTGGTGTGATTTTAATCTAACCCCTTGGGTTAAACAAGGTGATGCAGGGTCCAGGGAACCATGGTGGCTTGCCCTGGGTTGCTCAGTGGGTGGCTAAAGGGGCCTGGGGTCAGCTCCGCCCCACCGTGCCCTGCCCACTGGCCTCAGCTTCCATACCTGCCTGCACCACTCCTGGATGGCGCTGACAGACAGTGGGCCCTGGATGCTCCCGTCACGCCGCAGAAACACCTCCCCCTGGTCGGTCTGGTAGAGCTGCGGCTCGCTCTGGGCCTTGGGGGTGTGCACGGTCAGGCGGATCACCTTGGTAGGGGCAACATCAGCTCTGGAGGCACTGCACCTCATGGTTGGCAGTCCCCTTCCTGCCAGGCTGCTCAACATTGCTCACTGCTTCCTTAGGGCAGCCTGTCAGGGCTGGCATGGTGGCATCCCCAGCCTCTTCTCCTGTGGCCCCCAGTCCCGTCCCTGCCCCAGCACTGCCTGGCAGAGGAGCACAGGCCATTGTCTTTAGTGATGACAGATGACAGGCCCAGAGGCCTTCATGTCCCGCAGGCTCACCTTGAGGGGGACGCTGGTCTCCGAGGTACTGATCACAGGGATGAAGGTGAGGGTGTAGGCGTCGGGAAAGACCTGGGGCTTGAAGCCCTGTAGGATGGAGTCCACCAGCAGCCGCGTGCGGTCCTCATCACGGTGGCCACAGCGGATGCCCTGCACCAGGCCACTGTCCTCTACTCCCACAAGCAGGCTGCCACCCTCGCTGTTGAGGAAGGCGCACACGTAGCGCCGCACATGGTGCTTGAAGGCCAGGCTTAGGTACTCGCCGCTGCCCCGCTTGAACTCCATGTTGCGGGTCTCACTGCCCAGGAAAGCACCCTGGAAGAGCTGCTCCTTGCCCATGATCTCCTGGTGCACAATGGCACTATCGGAGCACACGCCACTGGGCCGGGTCTGGCATGTCTGATGCTGCCAGGCCTGGGGCCTATCAGGCAGCTTGTGTGTAGGCCAGGCGGGCAGCGGAACACCAGAGCCCGGGTTATGGCTGGCGCCAGGGTTCAGGACACTGTCTTCCTCCTCCTGGGTGGGAGTCAAGAATGAGTGTATGGGTCCAGAAAGAAAATGAGAGCCCTGATCTTGAGAAGGACTGCAAGAACCCCCCGTCAGGCCCCTGCTGTGGCCCGACTCTCACGGCCAACCTGATGTCCCTCACCAGGCCGAGTGGCCCAGTTATGCCCACCTTCCTGCAGCTGAGGCAGGAAACCCTGCTGGATCGAGGGTTCCAGCCGGCACTCCTTCCTCCGCCGAGCTGGGCTCTTCCCAGGTGAGCTGTGGGATGCCTGGTGGGGAAGAGATTTCTGCTTCCCCGGGCTGGGTGCTGGGACACGTGTGGGCCAATTTTTCTTACTTGGGTTGCAGATAGGCCCCTGAGGCCCAGAGCCAGATCATTCTAACAGATACCTCAGCACCCTGTGACAGAGCTGCAGGACCCTGAATGGAGAGGGATTCCCAGACACCCCACCCACTTCCTGATCTTAAACATTTGCCCACTACTTTCTGGGCCATTGACAAGTCTACCCTAATCTCCACTTCCTTCTGTGCCTCCTGAGTCCCTTTTTGTGGTTTCTGCTCTGCCCCAGGGCTTGGTGTGAGCCTTCTCGAGGCCATATCTAGTCTGGGCCTCCCCAGCCAGCCCCAGCCCAACCTCCCTTCTTCCACGCTCACCCTTTCCTGTCGACCCTCCTTAGTGATGCTAACTTCTAGGCAGATTGTTACTTCACAAGCATGGGCTGGGGTGAGACCAGGAAACCTCACTACCAGCCCTGCAGCTCCCCAGCGAAGATGAATTTATCAGTCTTAGAAACAGGATAAACTGGCTGGGTGCAATGGCTCATGCCTGTAATCCCAGCACTTTGGGAGGCCCGAGGTGGGTAGATCATGAGGTCAGGTGATCAAGACCATCCTGGTCAACATGGTGTAACCCCGTCTCTACTAAAATACAGAAAACTAGCCGGGCATGATGGCGCATGCCTGTCGTCCCAGCTACTCGGGAGGCTGAGGCAGGAGTATTGCTTGAACCTGGGAGGTGGAGGTTGCAGTGAGCCAAGATCGTACCACTGCACTCCAGCCTGACGATAGAGCAGGACTCCGTCTCAAAAAAAAAAAAAAAAGTTAAACTTCATACAGATATGGAATTGAGTTGAAATGTAAAGCCACGGAGCCCTTTAGTTCTGCAATAGCTTTCACACCAAAAGAAAAAAAAAACCCAAGATCACTGCCTCATGGAGGGACCCACCCTAACTTCCCATGTCCCAGTAAAGCCAGCCCTTTAGCCTTACTTTGGACTATAGCCTTGGTGACCTGGCCCTGCCCTACTTTATGGCCCAACTTCCTTCTGCAGCGCCCTCTGCAGCCTTTAGCAGGAGCTTCAGGGACACCAAATGCCTTGCTCTTCTGCAGACGCGACACTCCCTCTAAGCCCCCAGGTTCCCTCTGCATGTTCTGTGTCCCTTGCCTGGATTGTCCTCCTCCTCAGATACCTGTCCAACTCCCTAAGTCCCAGCCTGGATTTCACTTCCCCTGTGAATCTGTCCCTAGAGAGCAGAGTGCTCCTTCCTACGTCCTCTCATAGCTCTGAGTGCAGCTACCTCGCAGCTCTGTGGGTGGCTGTCCGGCTCTGCCCACAGATGCAGGTCTCCTTGGGGGTCTGGCTGGGTCTCTCATCCCTGCCTTAGTCCTGGCACAGAGGGGGTGTTCATGTTTGTCAACTGAAAAAGTGAGGTGGGCCAAGGAGAAAACCAGGGCCACTGTGTCTTCTAGGGTCTCCCAGGCCCAGAGGCTGGAATGCAAAAGGGCCCAAGGAGGAGGCCGCCCCACAGCCTTTCTTCACGAAGCAAGCATCGGGCTGGAAGCAAACAGCGTCAGTGTCTTTCTGGGAGAAAGCTGGCAGTACCAGTCACAAGCCATGGTCATTTGAGTAGCAGCCCCCAAGTTTGCAGATTTGTCCCTGCTTCCTCAGAGATACCCCTCTGCCCCAACTCAGCAGGCCACTCCCACCCGGGGGTCTCTCCCTGGGGGTGAGGCTTTGGAGCTTGCTTGGGAAAAGTCCCACTTACGTCTCTGTGGCTGAAGGGCCCTTGAGCCTCACTCAATAGCAGCTCCTTTCCACGGGCTGCCAGCTCCTTGAGGATTAGGTGCTCCTCCAGGGCTGTCCGCAGGCGCCAGGGGAGGGAGGCCAGGGTGTCCCTGCGGATGGTCACCTGCACCAGTGCATAGGCCTTCCGCGGCCGCCTTACCACCTCGATGTGCTCCCGTGCCACCGGCAGCTCCAGCCGCTCCAGGGCATCTCGCAGCAGGCAGGCGAGCACCGGCACTGAGAACTGGGGGTTCAGATGGCCCACATAGAGAGTGTGTGCCGAGGGAGCCTCTTCGAGGTCGGAGTATTCCGTCAGGGACTCCTCATCCCAGTACTCCAGCAGGGACGCTGACACCTGTGTTTGCACTGATCTCTTCCTGGAAGTCATGGGAAGGCTCTCCCTGGGAAGGGATTCCAGGATTCCTCACTGCTGGCTGCTCCTCCCAGGGTCTGGGTTCTCAGTGTGGCTTAGGGGCTCCCAGAGGACTCAGGGAGTATCCCGGCTCCTGGGAGGCACACAGACTGGCAGAGGCTGGGCAGGGCCAGAGAGAGTGGGAGGGCAGAAGGCAAGCAGGAAAGGGCCTGCCCACCTGTGTGAGACCTAAGATGGGAAAGCGGAGTCAGGTGGACTGAGCCAGACACAGCGCCTGTGGGAAGCCTGAGGGGATCTGCCCAGAACAGCAGAAGGGACCAGAACTTGGGTCTCTGAGATCTTCAGCATTTGAGTGGCACCAGGGATCCTATATTTCCTCCCCGACCCACAGGCTAGAGGCCTCCTAGGTGCCCTCAGGGTTTCCTGCCTAACAGAATAGTCACTCCTGCTTCCAGGCACCAGAGAAAACCTTTCAACAGTTCCTCCTGGAGAAAAGGCCTTCATCCAGGATTCTGAGGACTGGTGGGTGACTTCTCTGCCTGCTCTAAAAGCCAATGTCAGGCCATCGGGGGCTCACACTAGGCAGCGCTGGGGCAGAGGCTTTCAGAGCAGAGATTCTCATGATTTTTGACACACTGATGAAAGAAGGCTATGGCCTCTCAGAAAAATGGCCTTTGCATATAAACCTATCAATCACTTAAGGGGGCTCCTAGACCCTAAGAACTCCTAGTCTAGACTGAGTCTTCCATGTTTGGTTCAGAGAGCAGAAGTCACGAGGGGCAGAATGAGGGTTAGTGTTGGGACCCCAGCACCCCCCGCCCCAAGTCCAGGGAGCCTCTGTCCTGAGCTGTGCACATATGTTTAACACCAGCCCCTCTACTGCTCCCCACACACCCAGGCAGCATCTTCTTAGATGGAATCCTTGAGGCAGTCAGCCTGGGGGCATTCAGGTCAAACAGGACACGAAGGAGTGGAGAGGCCTATGAGCTTTATGTCCTAGTGGCTCCAGTGGGAGCATGGGAGGTGCCTGCCCTGAGCTCCCACAGCACTCCGACCCCTGGCCAATGGCTCTCAGGGCACTTGGAGACTTGGCACAGCGACAGCCAGAACTAGGGTTATAGGAAGTGGGCGGGGCCTGCATAGCTATCTCTGTGATCTCATGGGGCTCAACAATGCCTTGGCCAGCCACAGGCAGGCCAACTGCGGGAAATCAGACAGGAAAACTCCCTCTCGGCTCCCTGTGGGCCCCACCACACACTGGAAGCAGACCCAGAGGCCCACCCTCATGCAGCTTGGCTGTGGGACTCCCTCCCTCTGACAGCTTCCAGAATTTGAGAGCTGGAGACACTTCCTGCCTCTGTGATCTCTCCGGGCCCCAGTGCCCATGTAGGGCACCTGCTGCCACCTCTTTCAGCACTGCTGCCTCAAGCTTCCACACCTCCCTCTTTAGTCACCAATCCCAGGCTTGACTGAGTGCTGACAGGCCCAGCTGCTCCCAAGATGGAGCAGGAGGCACATGGTGGGCTCCAGGGCCCCCCGATGCCAGGCCCTTCTCTGTGCTGCAGACAGAGGCTGCTGTCCAGAAGAGCCCTGAAAAATCGGTCGAGCATAGCTATCTCTTCGGAAAGATGAGTTGTTACCTGCTGTTTGAGAAACGAAGACATGAGGGACGCGCAGCCTTTATTAGCGCAGGACTGACCAGTGCTCGTCATTCTGCAGAAGGCCAGCAGCACTTTCCCACACTGCTTCTGGAAGCCCCGACGGGGGGCAGTAAGGATAGGGCCAGAGTTAGATGCTTCAACTAAGGAAGCTGTTTGATAGCATAGAGAAGCTGCCTTCCTTGTGAGCAGCCTTTCTGAAGATGTTGCTGTTTTGTTTCCTAGGGGTGAGGCAGCAGCAAGCAGCTGGGACTACAGGTGTGTGCCACCACGCCAGGATAATTTTTGTAATTTTTTTTTTTTTTTTTGTAGAGCTGGGGTTTCATCATTTTGCTCAGGCTGGTCTCAAACTCCTGAGCTCAAGAGATCCTCCTGCCTTGGCCTCCCAAAGTGTTGGGATTACAGGCATGAGCCTGACCTCGTTTTATATGTGAGCAAACTAAGACCAAGAGAAGGGGAATGACTGGTCCAATGAATGCATAGTGATCTGGCTGTTAATTGATTAAAAAGACACTGGTATGTATATTGGTTTTTATTTATAAACAGATTGACATAAAATAAGTCCAGATGGCAGCGTGAGTAGCTGTGCTGCTGACTCGCTTACAAGGAAGCATATGGACAGCAGAGTGAGTGGAACTGTCTCCAGCCTGGAAAACCTGCCCTCCCATCCACCTTAGGGCCTTCTTGGCCTAAGATCATCCAGCCTGATCTTCGACTGCAGTTCTGGCCAGGGCAAAGAGCTGTGGTGGGGGCAGTATGGGCAGGGACTCTCTTCCCACAGATGAGGCCTGGGGCTGCAAAAGGGCCCCATGAAGAGAAGAGAAGAGGACAGGGACCCTTCTTCCCATACGGAGTGATGTGGTCAAGGCCTTATGGGTCTTTCTACTTCAAAGAGAAAATGCCCTAGCATAGTATCCTCTGAAGAGGGGCCACACCTATCTGGAGACAGCCTCTCTGGGACCAGGGCAGGGCAGTCTCCCTCCTCCTGAAACCCAGTGTCTAGAGTGGGAGGAGTAATAACTAAAGGGTTTGCCCAAGTGCCAGAAACAATAAATTAATAAGATCTTTTTTTAAAAAAGGCAGAGGTTTGCACCATGAGTTTGGATTCAGGGGAATCTGGTGAGAAGGTAGGAGCTGTGGGGCGATGGGGTGCCATACCAAGACCAGGGCAGAGCTGGCCTTTTTCTCCATCACTTGGAAGGCATTCAGTCTAAACTGGTGACAGGCCAGCCAGGCTTGAGAAATAAATAGAGGGGACCTCGGAGCCCCGGCAGAGCTGAGGGGAGGGAAGAGCAGCACCAGCCCTGGACCCCACACTTTGGTCCTTCATGGAAGGACATATCACGGCAGCTGCGGCTAGCAGTGGTGGCTCCACACAGCCTCTTGGAGTCCTGAGGTGCACTGGAACCCCAATGAAGTGCCTGGGGTGGGCTGATACCCCTCATTCCTAGAAGACTGCCCCCACCTGCTGACCCCTTGGTTGTCTAGGCTGCCTCTCCTGGTTCAGAACTTGCCCTGTTTCAGCCGGTCAATGTGGTAGGAGAGCTTGAGCGCAGGCCCCAGCTTCAGGCCCATGTACTTCATCATCATGTCACTGCGCAGCAGCAGCAGGGCCTTGCCATCGATCTCCTGGGGGGTGGGAGGTGGGCAGAAGTGGAGGGGAGGTGCCATCAGAGTCCTGGTTGGTCTGACCACCCCAGGTTCTGATTACAGGCCATCCTGGGAAGTGCCAGCCACATGGGGTCCAGTTCATCTGCTGTGATGCTGAAGCCTATTCTCCTCACCCTTTGTCTCTAAGCATCCCTCCTCCCCAAACATCTCCTACTGCCCCGCCAGGTGAGGCTCTCCACACATGTTCCTAATGAGAGGTCAGGCAGGGGCACCTACGTGTTTGCGAAAGAGGTCAGCATGGGGTCCAAGCTGAGGATCAGCTTCCCGGACAAACTGCATCACGTCCTCAACTGTCCATGAGGAGGGGTCCCGGCCACTCAGTCGAGAGGCATCCCGGCTCTCCAGGTATCGGTCCGACCCTGCAGGACAGGAGGGCACCCATCATAATGGGCGGAGACTAGTTTGTAAGTCCCCACCCTCTCCTTGGCACATCTCAGTGGCCTTCTAGGTGATGCTCACAGCAGTGCTAGACTATGAGCCGAGGAACTGGAGCTAGCCGAGGGAGGGAAGCATTGCCTCACAAAGGGAAAATCAAATCTTTGTTTTTAAAGGGTAGATCTGATTTTTGGAAATGGCCAGAAGAAATTTTGCATGGAAGCTATGATTCAGCCCAAACCTGAGACAGTGGTACCAACATGGTAAGGGGACTATTTGGGCATTGTGGGGGGCCTGGTGAGTGGGGCTGTTTTTGCCTTGGCTCTGGGGTACCATTTCTAGAGACACTGGTAGCCAGGTAAGATTAAGACAAATCCTTGGCACGTTGGCAAAAAATGCCCTGGATTCTTTTCCAAGACCTGGAGAATAGGTGACCTCATTATAGCCTGATAAACACTAAGGCAGAAAACAGTTTTGTTTTTTTTTAGATGTGGTCCTGCTCTGTCACCCAGGGGCTGGAGTGCAAAGTGGCACAATCTCAGCTCACTGCAATTTCTGCCTCCCAGGTTCAAGTGATTGTCCTGCCTCAGCCTACTGAGTAGCTGGGATTATAGGCATGCATGAATTTTTCTATTTAGTAGAGACAGGGTTTTACCACGTTGGCCAGGATGGTCCCAAACTCCTGACCTCGAGTGATCTGCTCACCTTGGCTTCCCAAAGCTGAGATTACAGGCATGAGCCACCGCGCCTAGCCAGAAAACAGTTTTTGCTTTGGCTGCCAGGAATCTCAGTGTTAATTTAGTGCTCTGCTTGGAGCTTTCATCTCAATTTTGACTCAGATATAACTCCTCCTGTTTCCCATGTGGGATTTGGGATCTCTGTATTTTGACTATCATCTGTCAGAGATCTTTTATATGTTTTATTCTCTCTGCTTTCTCTCCCTTCAATTTTTAATTTTCTTTGGGCAAGCTCCAACTTAACCAAAAGCAGGTCTTGGCTTCAAGAATCAGTTCCTTTATGAAACTTTTCTGGTCCAATCCTAAAATAAATGGTCTCACAAAGAATTTAGTATATTCTTGGTTACAGATCATTCAGTACTCATTTCCCTCATCACACCATGCTAACAATCTCTATTCTTCATGAAGCAGTAAAGGAACCTTTAAAAAGCAATAATTAGGCTGGGCATGTGGCTCATGCCTATAATCCCAGCACTTTGGGATGCTGAAGTGGGAGGCTGCTTGAGCCCAAGAGTTCAAGACCAGCTTGGGCAACAAAGCAAGATCTCCATCGCTACAAAAAATTTTTTTAAAAATTAGCTGGTGTGGTGGCACATCCTTGTAGTCCTAGCTACTCAGAAGGCTGACACAGGAGGATCGTTTGAGCCCAGGAGTTCCAGGCTGCAGTGAGCTGTGACAGCACCACTGAAGTCCAGCCTGGGCAACAGAGCCAGACCCTGTCTCAGAACAAAACAAAACAAACCAACAAAAAAAGACAGCAGTAATTGAACCACGTTAACCCCCTCTAAAAACTCAATGCAGTGGCCTTCCTTTGCACGTGAAGTGAAATGTGAACTCCTTCCTGTGCTTTCCAGGGTCTACGAGGTACTCCATCAGCTGAGCCTTCCTACCTTTGGCCTCATTTCACTCTACAACCCCTGCTCGCAACTTACCCCTGACTTGCTGTGCCTCAAACTCACCAGCCTTCTTTCTGCTTCTTGAATAAGTCAAGCATTTATCCTTTGATATGCAATTTCCTGTCTCTGGAATGCTCTTTTCTAAAACCTTTTCATGCCTGACTCCTTCACATCATTTGGGTCTTACCTCAAATATTGATTCTGTAGAGAGGCCTTCCCTGATCTTCTAGTATAACTACTCAATTCCCCACACAGTTCTTTTCAATCCAATTACCCTAGTTTTTTTTTTTTTTCCTTTCCCCACAGTACATATTGTTACCTAAAATAATTTCATGGACTCAATAATTTCATGTTTTTCATCTGTCTTCTCCCTATACAATGTAAGCTCTCTCTTGTTCCCTGATACATTGCTGACATGTAAAAGGAGTGCCTGGTCTGCCACAGTAACTGTTCAAACACGTCTGTTAGGTAAGTGATTGATCACAGATAACAGTTACTTGTATATTTTTCTTTCTCTCCAACTAGACTATGTCTCTACTGAGGCAGGGTCCTTGCCTTGCTCATGGTCTGTATCTACAACATCCAGAGGTGCCTTGTCACAAACTACCAAGTGGCAGAGCTAACACATACCTGTACACTAGGTGCAGTGGCTCACACCTGTAATCCCAGCATTTTGCGTGGCCAAGGCAGGAGGATCGCTTAAGGCCAGGAGTTTGAGCCAGCCTGGGCAATATTGCGAGACCCTGTCTCTACAAAACAAGTAAAAAAATCAGCTGGGTATCGTGGTGTGCACCTAGTCCCAGCTACTCTGGAGGCTGAGGTGGGAGAATGGCTTGATCCCAGGAGTTCAAGGTTAACAGTGAACTATGATCATGCCACTGCATTCCAGTTTGGGTGACAGAGTAAGACCCTGTTTCAAAAACAAACAAATAATAAACAAACAACCTCCCAACCCTCCCACATATCTGTTAAAGTAGAAGGGCCAAATATTTAACTCTCTTCTGCAAAGGTGAAGAATCTCCTCCCATTTTCCTTCATTCTGTGTCCTAGGTCTACAAAGTCAAAGTATACTTCGCCTGGCCTGACCCAGCCCAGCCCAGCCCCTGCCTTTTGGAGAAAAGATTCTAGCATATCATCTTTTCAAGCTTATAGTCGGGCATTGACCAGACCAGGGGAAAAGTATGTTAGATCCAATAGGGGCTGCTTAGTCACAGAAATCGCTATGGCTTTTTGGAGGTATGAGTAGATGGAAAGTTGGAGGGGGCTTTATGAACCAGTCACTTCTCCCTGTCTTAAAAGTCCACTGTGGGCTGGGCACGGTGGCTCACACCTGTAATCCCAGCACTTTGGAGGCTGAGGTGGGTGGATCATGAGGTCATGAGTTCAAGACCAGCCTGGCCAACATGGTGAAACTCTGTCTCTACTAAAAATACAAAAATGAGCTGGGCGTGGTGGCGGGCGCCTGTAATCCCAACTACTCGGGAGGCTGAGGCAGGAGAATTGCTTGAACCCAGGAAGTGGAGGCTGCAGTGAGTTGAGATTGTATCATTGTACTTAAGCCTGGGCAACAGAGCGAGTCTCCATCATAAACAAACAAACAAACAAACAAAAAACACTGTGATGCTAAGAGAAGAACCAAGTGAGAGACTAGATAACAGAGAGAAAATATGGGGAGAGAGTGTATATGCAA